TAAAATGTGGGAAACACTTGATCTTGGAGATATCTGAAAAGCCAATCTTGGCCGTGTGCGAGTATCTGCAGAATGGGTACTCCTGCCCTACGACGCATTTCGGAGTGTTTTGTGAAGCCTCACCGCTGCAACCACTTCTCCGATCAAATCTGCAATTTAACACCTTGGGATATTGCCATGTTGTCTGTGCACTATATTCAGAAGGGTCTACTCTTCAAGAAGCCTGCAACCCTGCTTCATGAAAACGATTTCATACAAAATCTGTTGGAGAACCTCAAGCACTCTCTTTCTCTCACCCTCTCCCATTTTTATCCATTGTCTGGTCGCCTTGTCACTCACAAAACCCAAAACCCTCCCTCTTATATTGTTTCTGTTGATTGCAACAACAGTGATGGAGCTAGATTCATTCATGCAACTCTGGATATCACCATAGCTGATATCCTCTCCCCCCTTGATGTCCCACCGATTGTTCAATCATTCTTTGACCACCACAAAGCAATCAACCATGACGGTCACTCCATGCCGCTGTTGTCCATCCAAGTCACTGAACTAGTGGACGGTGTTTTCATAGGTTGTTCCATGAACCATGTTATTGGCGATGGAACTTCTTATTGGAATTTCTTCAATTCATGGTCTCAGATCTTTCTAGCACAATCTCAATCTGAAAATGTTCCCATCTCACGCCAACCCATTCACAATCGTTGGTTTCCAAATAATTGTAGACCACCGATCTCTCTTCCTTTCAAACATCATGACGAGTTTATAGAGAGATCTGAAAAACCCCTCCTCCTGAGAGAGAGATTTTTCCACTTTTCAGCAGAGTCTATTGCCAAACTGAAAGCAAAGGCCAATTCAGAATCCAATACCACAACAATATCTTCCTTCCAGTCATTATCAGCACTTGTTTGGAGGTCCATAACTCGTGCGCGCTCCATACCGTCTGACCAAAAAACAACTTGCAGATTAGCAGCGAGCAATCGATCAAGAATGGAGCCGCCTCTGCCTGAAGAATACTTTGGAAACTGCCTTCATGCAGTGAATGCAGAAACGACAACAGGGGAATTGCTTGAGAATGATCTAGGATGGGCGGCATGGAAGTTGCATGTGGCTGTTAAAAACCTTGACGATAGAGTGGTGTTGCAGTATCTCGGAGAGTGGTTAGATTCTCCTGTGATATATCAAATGGGTCGTTTCTTTGAACCATATTGTGTGATGATGGGTAGCTCCCCGAGGTTCAATATGTATGGGAGTGAATTTGGAATGGGGAAAGCGGTGGCTGCTAGAAGTGGCTATGCAAATAAATTTGATGGGAAAGTGTCATCATACCCAGGGCGTGAAGGAGGAGGAAGCATTGATTTGGAAGTTTGCCTTTTCTCACATACAATGAGTGCCTTGGAATCAGACAAGGAATTCATGCATGCAGTTTCTGAGTTCAATCCCCTACTGTTCTAGTTTGCTACATCTTTTAATTAATGTAATATCGATTCAGTTTTATTAATAGAGAGAAGTTATTATTGAAACATCTGTTAACTTTATCTCTTGTTTTCACCAAACATAAAAGTGTAAATAGAACAATACTTGCTATAAGATCGTAGTGAAGTAATATCTATAGGAAAGATTAACAGAACCAACATAGACATAGCAGAGAAAGAGCACCAAAACACAAGAAAATCCAAATTCTACAGAGAATCCAACAGAGTCACGAGAAGAAGTTTTTAGCACAACTTACAAAAAACAATCATGTCTCGTGAACTCCTTCGGTAGACGTTTTTCTGCTCCCTTTTTACTTCTGTGACATCTCCATCCTAACTTTCACCGTCGCCAAAGTGGTCATGGATTAAATTATTCAAAATTCACTCTAAATCTAATATGGATTAAAAAAAATAGATTAGATTTATAATCTAATTCATTTTATCTAAATTAATAGATTTGAAATTTTCTCATTAGATTAAATTTAGATTATATCCAATTAGATTAAATAGAATAAAATTAATTTAATATATTGGACTATTAGGTTAATTAGAATTAGTTAAGTCAACTCAAGTTGACCTAAATCCAAGCCAACTTGTACCGATTGGAGTCTAGATCACTTAGTTTGACTTAAGTCTAACGCATCCCATCTTAAAATTAATCAGAGCTGACATGAGTCAATTTGTTATGATCTTCAATGTGGATTGACTCATCTCAACTTTTGGTCAAAGCCAACGACATGACTTTCAATTTGGGATGACTCGACTCAATCTATGGCCACATGTGACTAGGCTCAATCTTTGATCACCTGAGGACGACTTGACTTAACCTTTAATTCCAGCCAACATTGCTCGACCATCAGTCTGGTTGGCTTAGCTCAACCCTTGACCTAGACCAACTCATATTGACCTTCATAATAGACCAACTCGTCTCAATTCTTTTGCCCAAACTCATTTGACTCGATCTTTGTTCGAGGTAACTTGGCTCAATCTTTAGTTCAAACTAACTTGCCTCGATATTCGATTGGAATAGATTCTTCTCGACCTTTAGTTAAGGCCAAAATTGGCTTAATCTTCGACCAAGCCAGACTCAACTCGAGTTTCATCCCAAGTCAATTTGGCTTGTCCTTTATCTAGGCTAACTCATCTTGATTTTTTTACTTGGACGAACTCATCTTGACCTTCATGTTGAGTCAACTCATCTTGATTCTTTACCCTAGGCTAACTTGGTTTGACCTTCAACTATTAATCCGAATTAACTTGGTTGGTTTTGAGTCAACTCAGCTTGGGTTGACTTGTGTCAATTTTTAATTTGGGTTGAATCATCTCTCGACCTTTGGTCTTAACCAACTTGGCTTGATTCTTTAGTTGAGACAAAGTTAACTTGATTCATCAACCTAACCAACTCATCATGATCATGGGCTCGTGATGACTCAACTCCTTATTTGATTTCAAAACTTTTTGAAATTTTATTATAATTTTTATCTTAATTAAATATAGAAAATAATCATTCAATAAGAATTAAATACAATATAAGTAAATATTAAATATTAATTGTTGAAAGTTAATGTGGACTTGTATAATTTATTCCTAATACAAAATACAACATATGAATTTATTAGCGTAAAAAACACCTTTTACAATGACAATGTATTGCTTTTAAACCATGAGGTGTGAAATGTGATGGAGTAACAATTTTGTAAATAGTGCGTGATTTTCCATAATCAATATAAAAAATGAGTGTAAATAATGCCACCAACTATCAACTGGAGCACATTGGAGAGCAAAAACGCAATGCCACCACAATCACCACGCCCAGATCTGCCATGTCACCAGCCAAACAACTTGTCAAGAAAGCAACACTTCATTGGAACCGTTGGCATTATAGCAGCTCAGCTCCTCCACACTCGACCCACCAAAGAACGTAACCTCTTTAAACTCTAAGGAAGAAACAAATGAAAGTTGTAGATCCTCTTCTAGAAGTCTTGGAAGAAAACGCTTATTTTTGGATGGATAATGATATGTTAACATCTTTTTTAACAATTTTTTGACAATGGATTATGTGTCACTATTTTATTGGTCCGTATATTTGAAACAGACCAATCTGAAAAAATTGTCAAAAAAATTTTTAGAAAGACATTTTTCTTTTTGGATTTGAACGAAGAAGTTGTGGATGATGGAGATGGAAGGAAAATGTTCAAGTTATTATGGAAAAATGTTTGTTTTTCTTTTTAATTTCTGAAAGATTTTTTGAAATAATCCATTCCCAAATGTTCTATAATCTTACTTTTTCATTGATAATTTTGTGTACAGGAGCCCAAGTTGGTTCTTTGATGTATGCAGCTATTGGATACTTTTTCCTCATGTTATGCTTTGTACTTTATCTTTGTTTTTTATAATTAATGTCAAAATTGTATTGTTCGTATTATTGAGATGTTAACCCATTTTTTTATTGAAAATTGAGGAACAACATTATAATTAAAAGTATAATAAATTATTTCAAACCTTTTATAACATATCGACACTATAATCATAATTAGTATAAAAGGAAAGATTTTTTATTTTAAAACTTTCAATACTTTTTTTAACAGTATAAAAAGATTTCTTTATACTAATAATTATATAAAAAAATTAAATTTTTTCTTTAAAAGTTTTTAGAATTCTAAATTATATTATTTAATATAATTCTAAATTATTATTTATTATTAAAATTTATTATATTATTTAATATATTTGTTTTAGATTATTTATTTCAGTTTAATTATGATATAAAAATTTATATCTATAAAAGTATATACATCTCAATTTATTTATTAATATTTAAACTATAACATAATTAAATTTTTTAAAGTGAGTAAAAATGTATTCTAAGTAAATTCAAATCGAGCTCATCGCTTCGCAGTTTTAGAGAAGTTGAGATCATTGTGCAAAAATTGAGTTCAGGGTATTGAGATCCACAAATCTAGAAGAATATTGTAATTACGTACAAAACAAAATAATAGAAACAGACACATTTAAACAAAAGTACGGATATCTTTTAATAAGTTGTTTAAAAACATAACTTTAAAACAAAGAAGATATGTTTTAAAACACAACTTTATGTTTAAAAGTCGTTATCTCGTTCATTTAGACAAATATTCAAAATGGGCCTGCTTAATGGGTGGAAAATTACGGATTCTGATAAATATGGAGCCTTTTGGGATAGAACTCTCTTTCACGAGGAATGTTGTGCCCAATTGCTTATCCATTTTGGTCTTAATATTTTAACAAATCTATTAACAAACATCTTAAAAAAAGTAAGAACAAATTAGAAATCAAAGTTGTTTTTTGTAGGAAACTAGGAAAATTTGTCTTGGATATTATGTAAATGGACAGATTTTGGTTCAAAGGGAAGTCGTAGGGTCAGACGACTTCTAATGAGAAAGACGTACCCTTTCTGCACGATTTTACACTGTTTATTTGACTAGTATTGAAGTCGTGCACCAAAAACAACTTCATGCTGTAATAATCGATTATCAAACACTGTAATTAATTATCACGTTTTTTTTTATTAAAAAATAATAAAATTATTGAAGTTGTAAAGGGTTTGACCACTTCAATATGAAAAGTCCTCCACCTCCACACACTTTTACCTTTTTTAATTTTTAATTTCTTTATTACTTAAAATGATTTATAATTAATAAATAATATTTTTAAATATATTTAAAATAATATAAATCATATCTAATTAATATTTAAAAATTATATTTTATTATAATTTATATTTTTGAATTTTAATTATTATATTATATTTTTTTTTTGAATTATAATAAATTAATAACAATTTTTTTATCATAAACTATTTAAAATAATAAAAAAATTTAAAAGTTAAAAAGTTTGGGGGTTGACGACTTTTTTACTTAAAGTCGTGCACCCCTTCACAATTTTATTTTTTTAATTTTTTATTATTTAAAATAATTTATAAGTTTTAAATAATATATTTAAATGTATATAAAACATTTTAAATTATACATAATCAATAATTAAAGTTTTCTAATATTATTAAATAAATAAATTTTAATTATGGTTTTAATTATTTTTATAATTAAATTAAATTTTTATAAAAGGTATTTCAATTAAATAATTTCTAACCATAAATTATTGTGATTACATAAATAAAAATGTATAAACTTAATATATTTCATTATAAATTATTTTTTATTATAATTAATTTAATTAAATTTATTATATTAAACAAAAATAAATTTACTTATATTTCATTATAATAAATTTACTTATAATAAATTTACTTATATTTCATTATAATAAATTTAATTTAAGTAAAAAATTTAAGTAAATTAAATTTATTATAATGAAATAAAATAAATTTATGCATTTTTATTTATGAAAAGTTTATTGCCTACCAAAAGGATCTCGCTTCAAGCTATCCAAAATAATTACAATAGAATAAATTAATTATAATAAATTTATTAATTATAAAAAATTTTAATTTATTAATTATAATAAATTAATTGTAATAATTTTTTTCACAATAAATATTTGTTTAAGTAAATCCATTATATTAAAAAAATAAATTTATAATGAAATATAATTTTTTTTCAATTTTTAATTACATAATTAAAATAATTATAGTTATAAATTATTTAATTAAAATTATTTTATAAAAAAATTAATTTAGTTAAAAAAATAATTAAAACCATAAATTTATTTATTTAAAAATATTAAAAAATTTAACTATTAATAATATATAATTTGAAATATTTTATATACATTTAAATATATTATTTAAATATTATAAATAATTTTAAATAATAAAAAAAATTAAAAAGTGAAAGTGTGGGTGCACGACTTCAAGAAATCGTCAAACCCTACAATTTTAATTATTATTTTTTTCATTAATTTAAATAGTTTATATTTAATATTTTTATTAATTAAATAGTTTATAATGAAAAAAAAAGTTATTAATTAATTATAATTTGTAAAAAAATATTTTATAATAATAAAAATTCAAAAAAATAAATTATAATGAAATATAATTGTTTTTCAATTTTTAATT